CCTAGTCAGGGAACTTCGGGGGGGATTAGTTGTGTTCAAATCAGCAGGTCCTGACGATCTCCACCCCAGAGTGCTGAGGGAATTAGCAGAGGTCATTGCGGGACCCCTGGCATGGCTTTATGAGCACTCATGGTGCTCTGGCGAGGTGCTGGAGGATTGGAAAAGGGCCAATGTGGTCCCCATTTTCAAAAAAGGAAGGACGGAGGACCCAGGAAACTACAGGCCCAATGGTCTTACTTTGGTCCTGGGGAAGCTCTTTGAGAAAATTGTCCAGGAGCACACCTGCGAGGGGCCAGCAGGGGAGGTTATGCTTAGGGACAACCAACATGGGTTCATTCAAGGCAGGTCCTGTCAGACCAACCTGGTGGCCTTCTATGACCAGGTCACAAAATCCTTGGACGCACGTGTCGCAGTGGACATAGTCTTTCTGGATTTTAGGAAGGCCTTCGACGCAGTCTCTCACCCCGTTCTCATTAAGAAATTAGGCTACTGTGGTGTTGATGCCTACATGGTCAGATGGGTCACCAATTGGCTGGAGGGCCGCACCCAGAGTGGTGGTGGACAGGTCATTTTCAGCCTGGAGGGATGTGGGCAGTGGGGTCCCCCAGGGCTCAGTCCTCGGGCCCGCACTGTTCAACATCTTCATCAGCAACTTGGACGAGGGGGTGAAAAGCACCTTGTTCAAATACACAGATGACACGAAGATGCGGGGAGAACTGGACACACTGGAGGAGAGGGACAGGCTACAAGTAGATCTAGACAGGTTACAGGGGTGGGCAGATGAGAACAGGATGGGTTTCAATACGAACAAGTGCAAGGTGTTGCACCTGGAGAGGAAGAACCAGCAGCATACCTACAGGCTGGGGAACTCCCTTCTCGTCAGTGCAGAGGCAGAAAAGGATCTTGGAATCATTATTGATGCCAAAATGAACGTGGGCCGACAGTGTGGGGACACGGTCAGGAAGGCCAACCACACCTTGTTGTGCATCCATAGATGCATCACGAGCAGGTCCAAGGAGGTGATCCTCCCCCTCTATGCGACACTGGTTAGGCCGCAGTTGGAGTACTGTGTCCAGTTCTGGGTGCTGCACTTCAGGAGGGATGTGGACAGCATGGAGAGGGTCCAGAGGAGGGCCACTCGCATGATCAGGAGGCAGCAGGGCAGGCCCTATGAGCGCAGGCTACAGGACCTGAACCTGTTCAGCCTCCACAAGAGAAGGCTGAGAGGAGATCTGGTGGCTGTCTACAAACTTGCCAAGGGGAACCAGCAGGCATTGGGAGAGTCCCTGTTCCCCCGAGCACTACCGGGAGTAACAAGGAACAACGGCCATAAGTTGACTGAGAGTAGATTCAGGCTAGACATCAGGAGGCACTGCTTCACTGTCAGGTCGGCTAGGATCTGGAACCAACTTCCAAGGAAAGTGGTGCTGGCTCCTGCCCTGGAGATCTTAAAAAGGAGGCTAGACAGCCACTTAGCCGGGATCATTTGACCCCAGCATCCTTTCCTGCCATGGCAGGGGGTCGGACTTGATGATCTGCTCAGGTCCCTTCCGACCCTACCAACTATGAAACTATGAAGAAACCCAAAAGTACTCTAGAAGGTACTGCCTATGAACAAGCAAAAAAGGACTCTTCCACCCAAATCACCATTATGGTGGACTGGAGGAGTGAAAACTGCAATTGTCACCTCTCAGATGCATCAATTTTAATGTTCTATCAGCCACAAATAACTGTGAAAGTCTCATGGAACTTCATGTTGAAGTGAGTCATTGGTTAAATTTCAGTAACTGTACTTATTAGTAGGGTTCTGCGCCCTTCGGATGCTGATTCAATTTGGAGGATATTCGACCCAATTCAGTGGCCGAATATCCAAATCCGAATTGAATCAGGAGACCAATAAAAAGGTCCGAATCAATTCAAAGCTCTCCGAATCAATTCAGAAAAGATTCGCCAGGCCTCATCCCCTGCCTGCTCCCCCAGATCCTCCCTCCCATTGCTGCCCTGCTCGCCCCAGCTCCTAGCTCTTTAAAAATAAATAAATAAATAAATATTTTTTAAAAAGATGCTGCAGCAGCCATCAGAGCTTCTGGGGGCTTGTGGCAGAGCCCCCCCCACGCAGCATGGGGCAGCGGAGATCACCCTCCCACCTGGCAAAAGCTGGTGAGCTCAACCAAGTCTTTAAAAAAAAAAAACAAACAAAAACAAAAAAAAAAACAAAAACAAAAAACAAAAAAAAAGCTGGGGCCGGGCAGGGAGTGGGGCCTGATTCAGGACCTGCTGAATCTCTAAATCAGATCTGACCAAATCGATTCAGGACTGTGATTCAAAATCAAATTGAAATCACAGTCCCCTGAAAAATCGGCCAAAGCCATATCTGAAGTGAATACTAGCCGTTTCACACAGGCCTACTTATTAGGCAAGTATAAGTATTTTTTGAGAACCCAGAGCATACCTAGACAAGGGAGTGAATTCTAAACTTGTCACAACTTGACAAACCTTACAATTAATTTGATGACATCTTAGCATTTCCTCCTCTCCACCCACTAACATCAGCTTCCTGTTGCACTCAACAGCTGACACTAGAGGTAAACCAGCACCCTCTACTAATCAGTTGAAACTGCACCCATACAAGACAGAAGTAATGGTGGTTGCCAGACCTCATGACTTGGTGCAGGTTGGGGGGGGAAGAATAAGGACCACCTCTCCTAACCACTCAGGTTCGCAGCCTTGGGGTGCTCCTGGATCACTTGCCACACCTGGATTTTCAGGCAGCAGCCATGGCTAGGCACACCTTTCCAGCAACTCCATTTAATGAGAAGACTGGAGGAACCACAAGGGGCCTGATCCTTACTGTGACAGCACAGCCCCTGCCCCTTCTCTGCCATCTGCCCTGAGGCATGTGCGCCAAGCAAAATGCCTTCATGTACCATGCTCTGGTACCCATTCCAGGAGTTGCCTACAGCTGCTTTAAGATTTAAATCTGGTTGCTATGTCGCTTGCTCATCTAACATTGAGGCTAGACCACTACAATGCACTCTGCCTGGTACTGCCCTTGATGACCACCCAGGAGCTGCAGCTGCTGCAGAACACAGTGGCTCGCCTTCTGATGTGGGTGGGTCACCAGGGGTGCACAACCCCGATGCTTCAGTCTGCATTGGCTCCCAGTCGCTTTCTGGGTGCAACTCCAGATTCTAGTTTTGAATGACATGGCCCCAAATGGTCCAATCCCTACATATTTAATGCACCCCCTTCTGCCTTCTATACCCCATTGAGATCTCTGAAGTCAGCTGAGAGCAACTTCATGGAAATGCCATCTGTGCACAAGTGTTTGGTGAAAACACGTGGAAGATCATTTTCAGTCATTGCTCCTCAGCTCTGGAAATCCCTACCCCTGGAGCTGGTCAAAGCCCAAGCCCAGACATCTTCCAGAAGCATTTTAAGCCTTTTTATTTGGGCAGGCCTTCAGCAAGAAGAATTACATTTGGGGCTTTGTCTAAGGGGGCTTCTTAAATTACATGCTATGCTATTAAAATATTTTCTTTGATTGGTATTTATAGTTCATTTAGCTCTCATAGTAAGATTACCTGAGGGAAGGGCAGCATATAATTTTAATAAGCAAAATAAAGACTCCTTCCAACATCAGGCTGCGGATGGGGGATTACCTTCCTGTTCATTTCTAACACATCAGGGAATTGCTGGCACCTCTTCCAGTGCTTCCCTTATTCCTTCAGCAGTGAGGACAGGGATACCGATCTCTAGACCCACCCAGAAAGGTCCCCTGGTTGGCACCTTATGGAAATCTGGCAGGCTGCAACATGGGGGTGGAATCAATCAAGCTCCTGATACAGCATGGAGTCTTAGAAGTCTGCTGTTAGAAGATGCTACAGACAGCCCTACGACTAAGAATACCTATTTGCATACATGGATCTGGGGACAAAACTGGCCTAAATGTGGAAATGGTAACAAAACCCCAAACAAGGGAGATGACCCCATTTCCCACCTGGGCTCAGGCAACCTGCCCAGTTCAGTAGCAACATAAATACTTAACAGTTTTGGCAATGGCCCATCTCCACGTTCCTCCCAGACTTCACAGAATCCACCTCACTCTTCTTCCATCTGTTTCGCAAAATTTTAGCTAAAACTTCCTCTCCCTCTTTGCCGCTTCAGTGCCATTTTTATAAAATGCTGAAAATGTGAGGGCAACAAGCACATTATAGTCGTGGCAGTAGCATGCTGTGAATCCAAAGGGGTACCTCACCTCCTTAGCTGCATATTGTAGACTTTTGCCATATGTCACAGACTAGAGCTCCATGCATTGCACTTCCACTGCATGCTCTCAGAGCACTTAAAAACCATCTGGCTTCATGACAACTTTGTGTCACTGGCGTTATGTTTTGCTGCTAAGGGAACTGAGGGACAGCGCAATTGGCTCACAGGTCAGCCAGGAAACAGCAGAGCTGAGAGGAGACCAGCAACCAGGTCTTTGATCTTCAGCCCTGTCTCTTAGCTACAAGACCATCCTTGAACCTACCTACAGCATGATTCCCCTGTGGAATGCAATGAAAGTCCAGACCTTCTGATATGTACAATGCTCTTTTCTCTTGTCATAGTGGAAATCCTCATGAGACCAAAACCCATCATTCAAACAGCCCCAAGTTGGGAGACGTGACGGGGAGCATTTGGAATTGGAAGCAGTTTCAAAATTAGCAGCATTATCTGTGCCCGATCTACACGTCTCTCATCTTGGAAGAGACGTGTTATGGACATTATCCTTCAAACTGCAGAGCACTTCAGGGAAGACTGTACTCAGCACATGTAAATATGTACGTAAGTCCACCCTATGCAACTTCTACCAGGTAATGAATTGCAACTGCAACCACTTATAGCAATCCACTCTGGAACAGACGTTGCATGGAAAAGGTTTCTAAGAAATAAGTTATTCCCTCCACTGATAACGTTCTACTTCAGTCAACAGACTGAGAAATGGAGACCTTTCCTACCCGTAGATATCCAGGACCCCAATGAATGAGTGCTGCTTGATGGTGGTATGGAGGGCTTTGTTGACATGCTCCACAATCCAGTTAAACAGCTGGGCATATATATGCTTGGCTGGGGCATTCCT